AGATCTTTCCTCTCTCAAAATATTTCTCTTTCATTTTCCAAATTCCTTTCACCAGCTCTAGCAGAGGTTTTACCCTTTTCACTGACTTATATATCAAATCTATGGTGCGTTTCCTATAAACAACGACGATCATCATGATGACAATGATTTTGATGAGGACGATGGTTTTTATGAATTATTATTATGAAAAAGATATTTGTTCAGTAAAATAGTAAAGATTTGCCCCGGGGTAGTTCAAGTATTTTACCCCGGGGCAAGGAGTGAAAAAATCGCTAAAATACCTCGGGGTGACGGGGTCGGGAGCCCCGGTATGGACACTCTAGTAATAACTTGACAAGTAAAATAGTTACCCATTTTCTATTTTTAATTTCGGTGCCTAAAACTTACTTTTCAATTACTATAGTTAAAATGAAATGTGTGTTACCGCACTAATCGAGTATTATGCACGCACTAATCGAATATTGGCTATAAAAACATTTAAGCGCACTAAACGAAAACGCATTAATCGAATGCGCATTAATCGAGGGATCCCTGTATATTACTAAGGCAAAGTATAATTTTCATAGTCTCCAGTTTTATTTGTTTAGAGTCCCATTTGCTACACCCACCACTCACATCCTCTCCTTTAAAAATTACCAATAATTCTTTTTGACATTTTATACTATATCATTTATAACCAATAGAAAGGCACAGTTGTAATCTATTGAATGATAGCATAATGCTACATTGTTTTCAGTATAGAGTATTGTCAATTTTCTCTTCTGTTTGAAAGTTTATCTTGTGGTGTTCAGATCAAGCAGCAGTAGGAATTAATTTAAGCCCCTCTTGTTCTAGTTGAATTATAATAGTTATAAGACATTGTTTACTTTCTGCAGGTTATTATTCTGTGTTCTTAGGTGCATTGTTTAAATAATAAAACTCACTTAGTGTACTGGTACCATCATTATAAAAAAGTAGGTTTAAATTTCATTGGCAAATAACAGGAAAAAATCAAGATATCAAAGGTATTGTTATGACAGCGGTAGTCACGTGATTCTGGTAACACGTCATGATATTCTAGAAGATTCACAAAGAAACGAGAGGTACGCTTTTTGTATATATAAGACCAGTAAGAAGTGACGGCAACAATGTAATTGAATTGCAGACAGAGATAGAGACGGACAATTGAGTCAAGCGCATGAGTCATTTGTTGTGAATTATAGCGTTACTGTGGAAATTAAGTGTATTGCAAAGTTGTATTGAGAAAGAATAAACTAGTTTTATTTAAGAAAGGACTTGTATCGCTAAAGTTTCTTCGGAAAGAATTTTTACGGAAAATTAACAAACGAACACAGAGGCGTAACAGTATTATATTTCTTGTTTTTCACATATATTCATTGTTTATGGGTATAAAAGTAACTAAAATGTAAAAATTAGAAACTTATTAGGTTAAATAAGGTTAGATTAGGTAAAATAATGAAAATTAATAATAAAAATTATTCACAAAGTATACTCATGAACTGCTTGTACATTATGTCATTCAATATAGTAACATGAGCTTTGAGTTTGCCAAATGTTTACAACTTGTTTGGTGGAATTATTAGTTAGATATGGTTCAGAGAACAATAAAACAATTAAATTAAGCATAAACAGATGTAGACTGTTATGAGTCTTAAGGTATTTAGGATAAACAACTGTAGTTTTCTGCTATAATCTGCAATAGTTTTTGAAAGTAAAACAGGGTAATTTATTTATTATCTTTTTATGGTGGTTACAAGGTCGATCAACTTGCCCAACTTTATATAGAATTATGGTATAAAAAATAATATAAAATATAGACTTTCACTGAAAAAAAAGTGCTTGATACTTATGTAGAAGGTTTTAGAGATTGCACAAATGAAATTTTAGAATTTTCAGATGAAGAAAAGTATTTTTAAACTTAACATGAAAATCACTTTGTACTCAGAGCAGTCAATCTTTAATAAAAACACTTTAAAAAAAATCCGATTTTTTGCGTACAAAAGACTTTTAAT